AAAGAGTAAACTAATTAAAAAGACAATCACCTTCTTAGAATCCCACTAAGGATGAACACCTCCCTAAAATCACACTAGGGATGAACACCTCCCCAAACAAATCAAAGGGATGAAAACACCTCCTTAGAATCCCACTAAGGATGAACACCTCCCCGAATAAATCAAAGGGATGAAAACACCTCCTTAGAATCCCACTAAGGATGAACACCTCCCCTGAACAAATAAAGGGATGAACAACAACCACTTAAACCCTAAAAAGGGGATTTAATAGCAACCACTTAAACCCTAAAGAGGGAATTTAACATCAACTTCCTAAAAAAATAAGAACAGTAACACCTGGTAATGGAGACAATAAATTATAGAAGCCTGTAGAATGACAACCTCCAAGAACAAGTGTGATTAACAATGAAAGTGCAGAAGGCAGTAGAGAAGATGGTTTTTTCAGAAGGTGTAAAATATCTCTATTGCCTTGCTCAGAATTCTTTTCCTAAAACTAGATGAATGTAAAATTGTATTTTCGAATTCTGTAATTGTGTATTTTTTATTTTTCATCAAAACTCATTTAAAGAGGAAAATAGCATAAAAAAATAGTCGTTGGTCATTAATACTTTCATAGAGAAAAATCAGTATGTATTAAAAAACATTCATTCTTCAAAATGGATATATTTTTCAAATTTGAACTGCCATAATTGATTATATTACTAGTATAATCAATTATGATTGAGGGAAAATCGTTTTTCCATTTCTGATGCATCATAATTGATTATGACAATGAAAAATGTCACGTTACAAAATTTTATCACACTTGTGCTTTAGAGGCTTATGCATAATACCACTTCATCAACTTGTACCTATATATCCAGTATTCCAAGACTCTATCTAGTCTTTAGGAATCATCTTGGGCCTGCTTGATGTTTGAATGGAATCTTTATCAAAATCATATCTTGGGCTTGCTTGAGTCTTGAATGTTGTTGACTTGAATCATCATCAAAATCATCTCTTGGGAATGTAGGGACATGTTTCACATTTCCATGAATGTCCCCCTTAATGCTTTCACAACTTACTTCTATTCTCATTATTTCAACAACTTCATGTTATTACCACGACAACGTAGAAATGAAAAGGAATTTCAAAGCCAAACACAAGTTTCAATGTTATCAATCCTCCGACAAGTTGGTCATCCTTCAGGACGGGAGTTAAATCACTGGTTAACTGTTGCTGAATTAAAATCCACTCATGTTCATATATTAATCAACTGTGTTGAAGTTAAACCATATCTTGAGTAGGTTCAAATAACATTATTTTTCAATTTCTTTGTCAAATTTTCTACGACATTCAAATTGATCGTTGAAATGGTCTACTATTGGCTAGTTCATTTTTGCAGTCAGAACAAATAATTGAATCACAGGCTTCTGCTCGGATACATGCAAATTTTCCTATATGATTCAAGGAGCAAGTATGAATCTTATAATTCTATTTTAAATATATTTTAGATATAGTAATATAATATTTGATGTCTCTTAAATTTGTAGATCCACAGATGAGCCATGTACGGTGAGAAATCAAGACCTAAGAGATTTGTCCAATCATCCCATGAGATGTGTTAAAGAATGGCACACATACTTTGTGAATGGATACAAATTTCATACAGATGCATGGAGAAAAGGGAAAAAGGTGATAAATAGTGGAGTTTATGTTAAGGGTTTGACAGAAAGTGGTGAAAATGGTTTTTTTGGGATAATTATTAAAATATATGAGTTGGAATACAATTCTTAGAGTTATCCCAAAAAAGTTGTGGTTTTTTACTATGAATGATTTGATCCATCTAGAAGAGGTACAAAAGTAGATCCTAAATATAATATTGTAGATATTCGAATGTGTTTAAGATATGAACCATTTGATCCATTTACCCTTGCACCTAATCTAAGACAAGTGTATTATGTCCCATATCCATCATTTTGAATAGATAAACGTGGTTGGTGTGTTACAATCAAAACAAAACCAAGAGGTCGCATTGAATATGATGGTGTGGAAGAGGATGTCCCTTACCAACTAGATGAAATGTTACATGGTAATGAAGTCATTGAAGTTGAAGGTATATTTGATTTACAAGACTTTGACATTGATCCTGAAGAATTGGAAGAGGAAGAGGAAGGGGAGGAAGAAGAGCAAGATGAAGAGGAAGATGAAGAGGATCAGGAAAGTCAAGAGGAAGAAACTGAGGATGAAGATGAAGATGAAGATGAGGATGAGGATGATGAAGATGAAGAATAAGAAGAAGACTTTAGTTTTCAACATAATTAGGATAATTATGTCTTATAATGTTTATTTATAGCTAAGACATATTGTATCCATATTTGTTATATGTAATGTTATTAAGCCTTTTTACTTAATTTGATATATGTTTTTACATCATTATTTATGTCTAATTTTATTTTCCTATAGATATGACTACAAGAGGTTCTAACTCACGTAAACCCCCATCGAATGGTGGGAATAAAGGGAAAGGGATAGCAAAAAAAAGGAGGTCATGTTATGTATTGAAGGTACTTCCCACAAACATATTGTCTCCACTTGTTGCACCTCATCCATCACCATCCTCTATGGTAGGATCTACACCATCCCCTTCTGTTGTGCCTACTATACCCACACCACTGATAACATCATCCCCTTCTGTTGTGCCTATTATACCCACACCACTGACAACACCACCCATTTTTGTAGTACCACCTATATCATCCTCAGCCCCGATTGTGACACCCACCTTATCCCCAACCCTAGTTGTGGGACCCAACTCATCTGCATCACCATTCCATGCTATGGTGTCAGGTCCTTCCACCTCGCAACAACATCCACCTACACAAATTCCATCCCCACAGATTGCAGTTAGAACATCACAGTCTAGTGGGGATGTCAATTCAGAGATTGCAGAAGATGACCTTGCTCTCCATGATCAACCCATGATTGAACCTTATGGTCGAGGGTAATATTTATATTCAATTCTCAATATATATTATAACTAAGTTTTAGTTCTTTTTACTATATATATATATATATATATATATATATACATTGTATAACTTTTTCTTTGAAATTAGGTTTCTTCCGTCTAGGGTTGCATCACAAGCTGTTACAAAGAGTATTAAGTAACAATTCATTTAGCCTTGGGGCGACATGGGAAGTGATTCCTAATAGTAATAAGGAGTCTTTCTAGCAACATTTTATGGTAACTACTTTTCTACAAATAAAGAGTGTGTGTTTTAATAAAAAAATTCAAAAGAAAAGTGATTATGATTTTACTGAGAATATATGGAGGAATCTTTGGCATGTGAGATGTGGGAATCTTTCTTGAAATACGTTATTAGCCCAAATGAAATGTATCTGCTCCTTCAGCCTCCATTTCATAACCTTTTTCTTTTTATTAGTCTTTCATTTTTTTTCACTATTTATACCCTATTAATCTTTGTTTTAAGCATTAATTTTAAATGTTAGAGTGGTAATTAGTAACCTAGGACAGAAATGAAACTGAATTATGCTAAAAAGGCACATTTTAAACTTATAGTTATATATCTATATATACACTTGTTTAACTAGTTCCCAATCTAAAATTCATGTTATGGTAAAAATTCCTCTTGTTGGAGAGATTGTGAACCTAAGTAACTCAACCACAAAGTTAATCATCACTCCATTCCTGTTGAGAGGACCAATAATACACACAACGGTCATGTCCTATTTTTAAAAAAGCGATAGTTGAAGATATAAAAGATATCATCACTCCATTCCTTATGATCAAAGAGGAGATTCAAGTAGTAAGATAAGCAATTGGAACATTCATGATCTAGACATTTAATTGAACTTATTTGTAAGAAAAAAATATATATTTAATTTAACATTGATTTTAGGTATATTGATGTTAGGCTTGAGCAACATTGAAATCTATTATTAGACAACAATAATGTATCTTTGTATATAACCAACCAAGGATGACATCAAAATAATATAAAGTGTACCTAAAACATTACAATCATAAAATTATGGATGATATAAGTAAAATTTATCTCCATATTTCATTTGTTTATTATTCAATGTTACATTATGACTTATATTTATGTTGATAATATAGGTATATTAATTAATTAATTGTAAATTTTGAAAATGTTTATTCGTATGATTTTTTAGCCTCTACCATAAAAGAGTTTGAGAAAAAAAAATGAAACATAAAAAATATATGTAGGGATGGATTCAAAATATCACAAGATAATTTTCATGACTCTTTATGTTAATGCAAAAGTAAAACTATAATATATTTCTTTCATATTTCATCAGTATCATTATGTCTGATTCATGTTTCATTAGTAATTTATGTTATTAATTCTAATAAACAATACTAAGAAAATATCAACCACAAGAAAATTTAAATGAATAATACTAAGAAAATGTATGTTATTAATTTCACTGAACAATAAAGAAATTTTGAGTATTGGGAGAAGACTAAGAAAATATCAGAATTATAAACTTTTATTTTCTGTAAGATTTTATATTATAACTAATTTCATTCTTCAAGAAAATTAAAATGGAAAATCAACAATCATAAACATTAGTCTCAATATTTCTATTCATTCTTTATCTCCCTTTGCATCACTTGAATATTTATAATTTACACATTTGTCTAACTAATTTCCAATCTATTATTCCAGCAAGTTAATCATTATGTTAGACTTGCATTTATATAATTTATAGTGATTTTATTGTGAAAAAAATCTCCCAAACTGAAAACCTGACAGAGTCTGCGCATTATTGAAACTATCAAATTTCATTATAAATAGAAAAGGATCTAAAAACACACGTGATTTCCATGATTAAAAATAAGACCTTTATTTTGAATTAGTTCAAAAGTACTCAACACAGTAAATAAATAAATAAATCCCTAAATCTTATGTGTATATTTATTATTTAGATTTAAAAATGTATAAAATTACCAAGTGGGTAATTGTACTAACTTTGAAACTTTAGGCTTTTCCTCTTTCAAGCCACCGGTGATTTCAATTGCTATAACACCATTATTCTCGTGGACAGTGAAGCTGCAAGGTGTAAGCAAGTCCTCCTGGCTATTTTCGACATTTATGTGACTGAAGAGTTTCTTCAATTCATCTCTCTTGCCACCTAGCTCTTTGATATTGTTCTGCATGTGCTAAATGAGTAACTTTATTAAAATTTCTATTTGTATATTTTTAGCAGGTACATTGGATAACTCAGTTATTCAGATTTAGTTATATCAACTACCATGTTTCTTTCAAGGTTTTTTATTCATATATTTAATATAAGTAACACCATGTTTCTTCCTTTTATTTATATACTTATATGTATATAATTTGTACAATAATGTCTACTACATATGAAGGTTCAATGGAGACTAGAACATGAAAATCAAATAAAGAATAAATTTCATTCCAAAGCATCTCACAAACTTAGTGATATGTTTCGGGACGTAAGATTTACTGGACAAAGGCCAGATTGGATTGGAGAACATGTTTAGAGCATGTTATTAGAACATTGGAGCTCACCCATGTATCGCTCTAAATGTGTGCAGGCCAAAAGAATAGAGCATCTGAAAAGGGGGAAGCCTACACACAGGTGGCTTCATCACCACACATGAACATGTCATGCGTATGGTAAGTCTTTTAAACATATATTTAGGATTATATAAGGCTAACTAAGTTGTATATAATTCTTATTTTGTCAATGTAATGCAGGCAAAAGAGCTTGAGAGATCAATGTTTGTTGATGAGATTTTCCAGCAGACCCATATAAAAAAAATACAGGTCATTTTGTTGATGAAAGGTCTAGGAAGACACATGTAAGTTTTTTCATTTTTGATTTATTTTATGATATGTAAAGTTGATCATATCACAACATTTATTTGTTTGTACTAATAGGAGAAATTTCATAGTAGACTTTCAAAAGCTAGGTCATCTGCTGGTTCCTGTGTTGGCAAAGCAGAGTCTACTCCTACAGACTCTGTAGAGGATGATGTTATTAGGTCTCGCTGCTGGGTAGACACTGTTGGAGGGAAAAATAAGGGAAGATTATATGGAGCTGGACAACTTGGTCATTATTACCAGGGTGGGTCTGATACTCTCAAGCATCAGACTCAAGCAGCCAACTCCTCTGTTGATGTTGAAGAGATGAATCAATTGAGGGAAGAGATTCGTCGAACCAGGGAGCATAATGAGCAACTAGAGCACCAATTTCAGGAGCTTCAATCACTTGTGGGTGCAGTCACTCAATTCCTACCTCCTGGTGCATAATCCCTCATTCAGCAACTCCAACACAACTAACAGGATAGTCAGCAACAACAACCTCAACAAGAAGAAGACAACTCAGAGCAATAGGACAACCCATAACAATAAGACAACACAGAACAATAGGACAACCTAGAACAACAAGACAACCCAAAACAACAAGGACAACAATCTCCTGATTATACCCATTCTTAGATATTTTGTCAAACAATATTGTATTTGATATTATTCTACTTTCTAACCATAGTTACTCTTACACATTAAGTTTCATTATAGATATTTTGAACTATATGTCATTTGTTTGAATTGAGGTTATTTTAACTATGTTTGAATTCAATTGAGGTTATTTGTCTTATATTTAAGTTGAATTTGATCTGAAATAGTGGAACTGGATTTGGTGTTGCCTCTGATATAAAATGTGTGATATTATGCAGGGAAAATGGTTTATTGAAAAATTAAATTGAATAAGGAAGAAATTAGGATATTACCGACGGATATATCCATCGATAATTACCTATTACACTTTTCGACAGATATATCTATTGGTAATTACCTACAATAGTTTTTGATGGATGTATTTGTCGGTAATTACCTACAGCAGCTTCTGACGAATATATTCATCGGTAATTACTTACAACATATAAAATGTTTCTTCATAGGGTGGCAGAATTTGTGGGAGTTATATGTTAAAATCCTTAAATGTAAGGAAAAAAAATACTTGAATTGTGATATGATGTAATTACATGATGAATCTTGGTATGTTTGATCTGCGATGAGATGTTGTATGCATATGTGTGTGTATAAGTGTGGGAACAATATGAGTTCTTTGATAGCCACAAATTCATAATGATTTCTTTACCTAGAGGACTTTGTCGAGTCATGGTAAAGGGGTTTCGTTCCTCCGTAAGTCTTTAGCATGAGCCTAGCAAGAGTGCTCCATCCAAGGCTTTGTCGAGCGGCTAGAGTTGTTGCTTGTAAGTCTATGGAAAGCAGGGGAAGGGACTTTTCCAAGAGGTGTTGGTGCGCAAGAAAATATGGAGGTTAGCTGGCTATGAGAGAATTTTATACCATCTATTTTTAATTGGTAGTAATATGATAGGAACTTTTCTAAAAGGCGTTGGTGCGTAGGAAAAGTATGGGGATTGGCTATGAGAGAATTTTATACCGTTTGTTTTTTTACTTTGTGGTAATATGATAGGGACTTTTCCAAGAGGCGTTGGTGCACAGGAAAAGTATGGGGGTTGACTATGAGAGAATTTTATACCGTCTATTTTTACTTGGTGGTTGTTGCCGCTGTCAAAAGAGGCGGTCGGAGCGACGTAATGGTCTTTTGATTCGACTCGCATTTTTTAAAAGTGTGGTCATCACTCTTACGATGTCCGATAACCGAACTATTCTAAGGGTGAGGTTTTCATAAGTGGGTTCTGGAGTCGCCACCAATATTTTAACCAAAAACATTGAAAAAGGAAAAAAGAAGGGGATGATTTTAAGAAAAACCAACTTTGGTCATTACAACCAGAGTTAGGTAAGGGAGTTAGTTACGTGCGGGGAAGGTATTAGCTTCCCCACGACGCCCCTTTCGGGTTCCCTATGATGGATTGTTATTTTTAAAATAAGAACATTAAAATTATGCTTGTACCCTTATTTATTCATTGCAAAATTTAAATTATTGACTACATGGCCCTAATAACTAATGCACAGAGATGGTAACTAATAAAAGCGATAAATTTGAGTAAGGGATATAGAGGAACCTTCAAAGTAAGCTTTTATAAACACTCTTGTAAAGGGCGCTTTTTGGCAAACCCCGCACTCTACACAGACACTCCTTTCTTGAATTAAAACTTGCCTAAATGAGCTAGAATTGGACTCTTGAAGTAGAAACAACAAGTAAACGAAGTATCGGAGTAATAACTATGTGATTTTTGGGTGTTTCTGTGTTTTTCTGTGTGTTTTCCTCCTTGAACGAAGGTCCTATTTATAGAAATTTGTGGTCGTCAAATCGGGAAGGTCGTCTCACTTGACAAGGTCGAGACGGTCGTCAAGGCATTCGGGATCGCTGTCTCGACATTTGGGACCGTAGTCTCACCAAACGAGACAGTGATCTCGCTTTTGGCAAATGGCGAGACGGCGGTGTCGTCAAACGAGACGGTGATCTCACTTTTGAAGCACTTGTTGGATTTGATGAAGACATATGAAGAATCATTATTTCCGTTTGTGTGTGTGTAAGTAGATAGGCTATAGGTACAAAATTTAATCTCTTGATAATTACAATATATCTTGTGATAACACATATAATTGTTGTATATCATAGATTTTATCATACTTCATGAAAAACCAATCTTTAAGGTTTGAAAGAACAAAATTAAAAGTGATGAAGATCTTATTGAATCATTTGATAAAATGAAGATCTTGTTGATTTGATGAAGTCAAAGGCTAATCTGATGAAGTCAAAGGTTACTTGGGTTAAAAGGGTAGAGTGATTAATGAGTCTGCATCTATACATAGGTATCATCATTCATATCTCTCTGCTGCATTAGGTTTCATCATTTGAAATAATTTGAAAATGCCTCTAAATATGTTTTTAATCCATTAAAAACCAAAGTAATCAGTTAAATTGTTTTTAGCAAATTGTTTTAACTGATATTATATGAGCTTTATCAATTAAAATGTTCTTAAAACTTACATAACAAATTTTTAACTGATAGGTTTTCGAAATAATTGATTAAAATGTTTTAAAACATTCACTGGAACTATTTTAATCGATACACTTTCGAATTAATTGATTATTTTCATTAAAGGAGTGTCGCTACCGTCAAAAGAGGCAGTCGGAGCGACGCGATGGTTTTGCTTCAACTCGCATTTTTTTAAAAGTGATGCTACAATGCCTTAAGGTTGTCTGATAACCGGGCTGGACTTAAAGGCGAGGTTTTCAAAAAAGGGTTTTGGAGTTGTCACCAATGTTTTATCCGAAAACATTAGAAAAGGAAGAAAAAGAAGGCGTTGGTTTAGAAAAACCAACTTTGGCCATTATAACCAAAGTTTGGTAAGGGAGTTAGTTACATGTAGGGAAGGTATTAGCTTCCCTACGATGCCCCTTTTGGGTTCCCTATGATGGACTGTTTATTTTATAAATAAAGAACTTAAAATTATGCTTTTACCCTTATTTATTCATTTGCGGAATTTAAATTGTTGACTACATGGCCCTAACAACTAATGCACATATAGATGTAATAAAAAAGCGGTAAAAGAAGATAGAAAATGTAGGAACCTTCGAAGCAAGCTTTGTATTAATGTTCTTGGAAAAGAAAGGTGCTTTTTGGAAACCTCCACGCTCTACAGTGCTGATTGTTCTTTCTCACAACACTACGGGACGCTTACTAAGAACACTAAGAAACTCCGAAAATGCTTCGGAGATCCTAGGAGAATAATTTGGAGAAAGTACAGAAGAGAAATTTGCTCTGTGTTGTGTAAAGGGTGAGGACGTCCCCCCCTTTTATAGAAATTCGCGCCTGTCAGGTTGGGACCGCCGTCTTGCCAAACAGGACGGCGGTCTCGACTTCAGCAAGTGGCGAGATGGCTGTCTCGATAATTGAGAAGGCGGTCTCGTCATTGGCAAGTAGCGAGACGGCGGTCTCGCCCTTAGCCGATGGCGAGACGGCGGTCTCGGCCCTCTAGGTGGAATTTCTTATTTGTCTCGTACAAAAGTCATTCCTATTCTAATATGGGGCCTATTCATCTATTCTAGGCACCTTTTAGGCCTTGCCCATCTTCGAACGGAAGTCTTCTGCTCTTTATTTTGAGGTCGGGCAAGATTTGGGGTCTACAGCTGCCCCCCCCCCCCCTTCACCTGACTAGCCGACTGTTGGCTCAACATGCCAAAAAGATC